ACCGTAACACAGGCTATTTTTCAAAATTCGTCGTCCGTAGGATTTGAACTCTAGACCTGCCACTTGGAGAGAGTGACAACTAGACCACTACACTAAATCGCCACACTATTTATAAATAGATATATAAGTATTACATAATTTAATTTAATATATAAAAATAATTATCTTCAATATGTTCTTTAAGTATTATTAATAAATATATAAAACTTTCTAATTTACAATTATGTAATTCTTCTAATTTTCGATAATATTCTTGAGCCTTCTCAGATTTATTTACAAAATTATAATAATCGAAATATTCTTTCATCTATGGAAAGTAAACTTCACAAATATTTTTTTGAACGATCATTACTTGTTCTTGTTTACATGCTTCACAGAAAATTCCTAAAAAAGAGTTCTGATAATGATTTAATTGAGCCAGATTTTTTGTAAATAATTCTTGCATAATCTCATTTTCGAATTCTTTAATTTCATCAGAGGTAAATTCTTGTTTGTTCATTTTTTTTTAATTTTTTTAAATTTTTTTTTACCTTTTTTATAAAATTGTTTTATGGAAAAACTTTATTATCTGAATAAATTACGGAAAAACAAGATATTCTAAATTCTAAATATATATTTTAAATAAAAATAAAAATTTTTAAATAATAAATACTTTAAGCTAAGTAGATGTATAAACAAACTTAAATTTCGATTTATTAACGAAACAACACAAACACAAGAAATTAAATATAATAAAAAAATGTCTAAATGTTTTATCGATCAAGAAATTTATGAAGAAGAAAACAAGAAAACAAACATCTTAAAGAACAAATTGATGATTTGGAATGAGAAATTGTTGATAATAATATCGACTATGAAGAAAAAACCAAATCTATTGAAGAAACTTCTGTAAAAATTATTGATAAATTACAAGATGAAATGTTAAAAACTTTCAAAACCAATAAGAAGTTGATTGATCAACTCTCTTTTTATTCTTTATTTTTTGGTCAAAGTTTTCAAATTGCTCAAGAATTATATGAGCAAGAGAAAATTAATAGATTATCTCGAGAAGTGTATAATTTAGTTAATGATTTTAATGAAGAAATATATAATAACAATTCGTTATATTCAGAAGATAATGAAACTTTAAATTTATCAACAAAAAACATTTATGAAGTTTCTAATTTAGTTGAACCAATTATTGAACAAGAATATTTGGTAGAAGAAACAGAATCTAATATCGAAAATTATGTGGATCATTCAATTATAGATAATTTATCTGAAACAACTTTTAATTAAATTTTATTTATATTTATCTAATATGTTTTTATTTTATTTTTTTTTATATTTATATTGTTTTTTATATAAATAAACAACAAAATATTTTTGTTTTTATAAATATTATATCAATTATTAAAATAAATAAACAAAATGTCAAATAAAGAATATTATAAAAAAATGAAAATATTAGGTGACGCTATGAAAGAATCTGGTGATTTAAAAAGTTATCAAAATCATTTTCGTTTAACAACAACAAATATAGAAGATATTATTGAAAAATATTTAAACAAAGAAGAAAAAGATTTCTATATTGAGCATCATGGTCTAGATGCCTTAAAAAAAAATAATGATATTAAACAATTTAACAAAACATTTTTAACTAATTTTGCAAACAAATTTCTAAGTGGTTCTTATCATGATAGAATTTTAGCAAAACTTGAAACACATGTTTTCACTTCTTAATATAGATTTTATATTTTTATTTTGTATAATTAACTTTATTTTATAAATAAATAAATACCAATTAAATTATTTGATATATTTAAAGACTTTATTAAAATTGTCTTTTTAGGATATATACAATGAAATTAATTCATTATAATAAGTTTATAAATCTGAAAAGGATAATATATATCTAACTTTAAATTTTTTACAATATAAATTCACTTCCTTGATCCATTTTTTCACATCATTTTTATATTCTTTCGCTTTCCAATCTTTTAAATCTGAAGTATCATCTTCATAAAAAAAAAATGCTCCACCATTAAACATATGATAATATGATCTAATATGAGCATTTAAAAATCTATGAATACTTCTTAAACGTTTATTATTACAATGTTCACGTACAAAATCTATAATATTATTTTTATAAAGATGGTCTGTGAATTCTTTAAAACTATAAAATATTAAATAATCATCAAATTCATCTTCATAAACAATTGAGTCTTTAATTATATAAAACCAAAGACCAAAAAAGAACAAACGAATAAAAAGAAAGGGTATAAAAATGATAAAAAAAATAACAAAAAAATTATAATAAAATTGATTAACAGAAGAATTTTTTTTGTTATTTGTTAATGTTGATTGAGAATTGATTATAGATTAATTCTCAAATTCGGGGATTATGTTCGAACTTTTTGAAGATTCTTCAGAGTTTTCATCGAATATGATATCCAACTTTGATGATCAATCATCATCTTCGTTAATAGGCCAAGGAGCACTATTATCAGAATAATTAGCCCAAATGTCATCTTCATTTTCTGTTTTGTGTTGAAATCTTTTTTTAATTTTCTTTAAAAAAGAAGACATGTTATTGAGATTATTTAATATGTAAAATCGTTTAAACTTTTTGTTTTACTTAATTCCTATGTTTTTTTTCTTTATTTAAATATTTTTCAATATATATAGTAGCATTTAATCAAAATTAGATTATATAATTTTATTGACACAATGCCAAAAGTAAAGAAATCTGATTATTATAAAATATTAGAAGTAAAAAATACTGCAACTTTATCGGATATGAAACAAGCTTATCGAAAACTAGTACTAATTTATCATCCTGACCAAAATGTAAACAAATCAGAAAATGAACGCGTAGAAGCTGGAAAAAAATTTAAGGAGATAAATGAAGCATATGATTATCTAACATCCAATTACAAAGAAAAAAAAACAAGAAAATCATCTCCAAAGAAAAAAACAACATCTAAAAAAAAAAAACCTGATCAGATACATAAAAAATCTCCTAAAAAAACTTCACCAAAATCAAAAAATAAGAAAATGTCTAATTCTAAAAAAAAAGAATTAGTTGAAACTAATAAAGAATTTAAAGAATTATTTACCAAAGCGATGATGAAAACATTATCTAAAATGTTAAAATAATAGGAACTAATAACAAATTTTTTTTTTTTTTTATTATTAATATAATGTCATAGTAGAAACTTTATTATAGTCAGTCCAAAGATTGAAAGTTATCTTATAGTCTACAAATC